ACTTGAGTTAAGTCACCATCAGTGACGCCACGAAGCCAGGACTAGGCAGTAGCGCGGAAGTGACCTCAGCGACCTGGCGGTCACAGGTCAGAGTTTCCATATTCAGTAATTTCTCAAAGGTCAAATAGCCATTTGGTGATCGGGAATAGCTCTTCCTTAAGATGCTTGTGTAATTTAACCTCAGTATAATTCAACCAATCTGGATCATTCAGTGCAAACAGAGGTTAATTGTTAAACTTAAGCCTTGCTAGTAACTTGGTAAAACTTAGACTATGCGGAAGGATACAATGCTCTAGTCTGGGGAAGACCAGACGAGGAGAGATCAGTGTGGTTTGAATAGCAGCTCGGGCAGGTGGCCTCCGATCATCGGGCCCCCCAAGACCAGCTCCAAAATCTGAGCTGGTCAACATAGAGGTATAGTTGCTATGAGTTCTGATAGGGATAGTCAATTCATTGCCAATCTGGTCAATTAGGGAGTGTTCAAGTAGGAAGTGCCAACTATTTAGATTTTGCTTAATTTGGAATAAATTAATTAGTTAATAATCTGCATTTTCATTATTTCCATGTGTATGTTATATTTATGTGGACTTGTCCTTGTCACGTGGTCCCCACGTGGCCGAGTTGAATTGGGCGCCGATTCTAACACCAAATCGGAAGTCATCTTTACCATTGATTGTGAATTAATTCCACACTTAAGATCCAAGGTTATAAGTTACTAGTGGGGATCAAGCCCCAAGGTCATTGATTAGCATGATCGATCGAGACCTCGATCATTGCTCAGTGTTACTGGTCTGGTGGTGGCGGCAGAGGCGACTCTAGGGTTTTGCTCAAAGCCTATGTCACGTCATACGGGTTGTAGAATCTTAAGTCGGTAAATCATCTTGGGACCACGTGGCGTGGAGTCGGCTTTAGTAAAAGTTTGGAGTCCCGGGGTATAGAGAACAAAAGTAAGAATACGGGTAGAAGAGGGAGAGTAAAGGCAGGAAAGATCTTTCAAGAACACTCCCCCCCCCCCCCTGTGTTACAGGAGCTCCAAAAACCCTTGGACCAAATCTTGGAAGATGCATCAGATAAGGTTTGCATACTTCCTCTAGTGCTCATAGGGGTCAAAACATGCAGTTGATGCAATTCCATCACCCAATGAATCACTTAGGAAACACAAGCATTGGCACAGGTTAACAGTATAAGGATTAAAAAACAAGCAAGTTTAACAGACCCTGAGGACTGAAGAGTTTTATGCAAGGCAGGAACCAGCCAAAGAATGGTGTACAGATGGATAAACCATCTCTAAATAAGAATGGGATCAAAGTAGAAAGCAGGAGACTAATTCTTGGCAAAAAACAAAGGAAGAGCCTACAATCATAAACCTGTTACTGTAAGCATGTATCAAACTCAGTCACTGCCATGGAAAATGCAGCCAGAAATGCCAAAGGAGACAAGAACTGTGGATTAGACACGAAGTCCAGAAGTGCATCGAGCTGCTGGGCAGGCTCCAAGGAAAAACTAGCACAATGACTGTACTATTAAAACTACTGGTGCTGCCCTGTCTTGAATACTAAATACTCACTCTCCCCTTCATAGCAAGAGAGATTGCCAAAATAAGAGGGAATACAGAGAACATGTAATACATACAATAACCACGATAAAGCACCTAAATTATTGGGATAGTCTCAAAGCTTTCTAAATGTACCCCTTAGAAAGAAGACCAGAGAAATATCAAATAACATATGTAAAATACTGGAGGGCCAGGTCTCAAATCTATATTTTAAATTAATATATTGGAGTGAACAATATGAAAGGAAATACAGAATAGAACCAGTGAAGATCAGGGGTGCCATAAGTACACTCGATCAAAGAATACTATGAACATCAGAGGTCCACAGTTGTTCAACATCCATCCTCCCAGTGAGCATAAGAAATATTGCCAGAACAAACATGGATGTCTTTAAGAGAAAACTGGATAATTTTCAAGAAATGCCAGAACAACCAGGTCAGAGATTGAAAATAAGCCGAACGTGAGGAAATCTGACCTGTTCTGAGGATCAAACCAAAGCCCACAAAAAAAATGGGCTCTAGGAGTGCCAACCAATAGGAAGACACGTTCAGTATTAGCTGACTCTTGACAAAAGTCTAGGCCAAAGCAATACAAGGAGAGCCACAAAAAAAAAAAAAAAAAAAAAAAAAAAAAAAAAAGAGCCAGGTGAAGAGACCGGACGCTCTGACGATAATGCCATGCCACCTCCCATTGGCTGGATAAAAATACTCCGATAATTGGGGCACCAGCAGATCCACCACCTACAGTACCCTTGATTTAGAAAGAGATCCCCCTGAAAACTTCAGATGCAAAGATCAGCGAGAAAAAAGTCCCAAGTTCTCTCATTGATCAACATTAATCAACCAAGTGAAGTGTAGATTGGGGCATTAGACAAGGCTGTAACAAAGCCTCAGCCTAGAGACAAACTCCCAAAAGGATTCTCTAAAGTTGTGGCCTGATTCAAAGAGTCAGAACACATTGAAGGTTACTGAATAATCAGTGCCAGGGATTATAATGCTGGCATAATCATTCCAAAGTCTGGAACAAAATCTATGTTCTATGAAGGATAACACTAGTATTGTAGATCTTTTGGTTCGTATTAACTCTCACACATTCTGACAACACTAAAAGTGTGACCCCAAATTTAGTTATAGTCCAACAAATAACTTTGAAAACATAAAATGATTGCAAACATTTTTCAAATCATTGAGCAGCCTGGGGAACCCAGAATGTTTGCAGTCGAGAACACACGGAAAGGGCGAGCTACCAAAGTGTTAAAAGTAAATATAGTTTGTGTGTTCAGATGTTATGAAATGCTAAACATGTTGCATTTTTCAAACAAAAAGAGGAAAACAGTACAATAAATATTGCCAAAATGGGTGCAGCTCAGCCAAAGACAAATGTAACTGATTTTGGGAAAGATGGATGGTCTGGTCCTAATTTGTCCATTTCAGCAAAAATACATAGTACTGAATTGTGTATAAATATGTGAATGTTTAAGTTAATCTCTCCTTCCCTCAAAATATGAATTTATAGAAATCCACAATTTATGAACATCCAGAAGCGGAACAGAATGCCATCAAGCAGTTCAGATTATTTTGAGGTTACATTGTGAGTACAGTATAAGCACTCAAAGAAAAACAGTCAAATTAAAATTTACGTTTGAAATTACTAAATACCAATTTACTATACCTGAACTTGTTTGTGCAACTACACTGTCAGCCACGTTATAGTAGTTATGGTATATCCCAAGTGTATAACAAGAATTATGTATATAAACTATATAACAAGAAATGGCATTTTTTGCTAAATAGCATCTTTGCTAAAGAGATGCAAACTCTCAGACCAGGGATTAGAAGTTGTTCCAAGTTGATCCATTTATGGGGGTGTGGATTCCTATCCATAAACACCATGAAACAGGAAAATTATCTTCATTGGGCCAGATATTTATGAACCAGTTTGCTATTTTAAAACAAGCTAGTAAGGACCGTTATGCTCATGAAACTTGTCAAATAAAGAATCTCAATTTTGTTTTCACCTTCACGCTTTATGATTGGATTCATTTATTATAAATAATTATCTAGCCATAATGGGGTCACTGGCACTGGATAAAACAAACTATTCAAAATCTCTAATTTGATTCTATAATAGAAGTGACCGACTTAAGAGATGATTCCTGTTGCACTGCAAGACCAAAGAACTTGTCACATAGCCACAGGGTGGGAGTATTCAAGCATTTGACAGAAGCCCATTTGACTGCCCTTTGGGTCGTCAATAATAATTTCAACTCCACCATGGTAAAGTGGTGGGGATATAAGAGAAATTACTTGACCATCATTCAATAAGTATGCATTAGAGGCAAACATTTGTGAGGAAACACTGCGGAATATAAAAATATTCAAGTAATTTGTGAGCTTGTTTCTGAGCAGAAGTGGATTTATTTATTCAAAATTTGACTGGCAAGGTTTCTTAAATATGCAAGTGGATTCTATTATTTAAGTTATTTTTATAACACCCCCTTTTGTATCATAAACACAATATAATAATACTTTAGCAGCAAACAGATTTACCCATAACCACAATTATTATTACATAGATATACAGTATCTTCACAGGCCTGCTTCATAAGAGAAGCAGGCTAAGGTAAGGAATAAGTCACAATGTGCACCTGAAGCATTACCATCACACTGTCAATTAGTTAACTCGTTTTTTAGTTAACTAAGTTAACTAAGTAGTTGTAAGTAACTAACTAAGTAGTTAACTAAGTTTTTACCAGATACAAAGCCCCGTTGTAAGCAGGGTGCTGAAAGGAATAATGTATATAATCATTGGACAAGAGGAGATAAAGTGTTAATCATGAAAATATAGGTTTAGGAAATTAAGAAAGTTACCAATTACATGCACTAACAGATCTTGTTTGTACATTTTAAGTACTGAAAGAGTTTTATATAGTTTTAAAACTTCAGAGCAGTTAGACTTCAACATATGAATCGACAACTTCACAGAATACAAATTAAGATGCTATGGAGCTGAAAAATGTTCTGAAGCAATTAAAAATAGTATTCTAAAGTATTTACAGTATTAGTGCAAGACAAACCATTTAGAGCAGAGTTGAAACCAATGTGAAAAGTTTGAAAGAAATAAACATCAAATTTGGCATAATAACTGTTGCTACCTTTCAGCAAAGAGAGTTGAACATTAAACTTAAAAAAAAAAAAAAAAAAAAAAAAAAAAAAAAAAAAAAAAAAGCTTTCTAGAACCTTACCTGTGAGCAGGAACTTTACACAATGCTATATACTTGGGCTTCTTTTTCCCAGGCGTGTATTATGAAATGAAGATGAAGTGGGTCAGAGCAGCCAACCTTAAATAATTACTGGGGACATCTTCGAGCTTCTCACTAACTACACATACCCCCAAAAGTAAACACAGTTTAAAACATAACAAGCGACTGAGAGCCCTTACTCACCGGGGTAATCTGGTAAACTACATTACTCGGAGCATGTGCAGACGGAAAAAACTGCATAGGTGCCGTCATTACAGAAGGATAATTCTGAAAAAGAAAATTATATATATATATATATATACACACATTACATAAATTACACATATGCGCGCATGCGCGCGCGCACACGCACACACACACACACACACACACACACACACACTAGAAAGAACCTTTTCAGTGTCAGTACAGTAGTTAATAAATGGAATGCATTACAAAGTGATGTGTTGGAGGCCGACTCCATACTCAGTTTCAAGTGTAGATTAGATAAGAGCTCAATAAGCTCAAGAACCTGTTCACCAACTAAGAACACAAAACTAGGGACGCGTTTGTATCCCCCAAACGAAAATTAGCAAACTATCATGATGTCATCACGTCACTGCACCATTGACTGCGCAAACCTCCCCATTCCCAGGGAGGGGGAAGGGAAAGCCCCAGACCCACCCGCCGGCGACCCAACCTACAGTTCTTAGGCTGGATGTCAAAAAACGCGAAAAACACCGCTGATCGGGAGGGATGCCGAGGAGCCACTGGGACTTGCCCAGAAAATGGCGTTTCATTACATTCAACGCTGGTTTTCTAGGGGAAGTCCCGTCGGGTCCCAGGAGCTAACTACCTAAAGATAAGGAAAAATAGGGACTTACCCAGGAAGCGTTTTGTCCTCACTCCTCAACACGAAGTCGAGACAACTGGTTGCAACCACCTACCAAAACCAACGCAGGCCCTGCCTGGTCCCGGAATATTCACCAGGTAGAGAGCAGCCAGGACCCTGTTCGACCTTTAAAATACCTCCCGCCCAAATGTCAACCCAAGACATGTTGCCAAAGACGGCAGCCACAGTAACAAACTTACACGACGTCGTGGGGACGGGGATGAATCGCAGGCTAGCTAGACTTAATAACCCTGCGGACAACCAAAGACCTGAGGCCGGGAACAGGGAAGAAAGGAAATCGGGTCAACCCAAAGCGCATCCCCGGCCACCGAAGCCGTGACGCACAAATAACGGCAGAGAATCGCAACCGGACACAACACATGATGCATCCCCAGCCTGACCAACCAAGCCTCAACAACCCAAGGCCCCCTCCAAAATGTAGCCGTTTCATTCTTCGCCAGAAAAGAAGGAGAAGGCTGCAACAAAATGAAACTATCACCAGAACCGAAGGAGGAGAAATCCCTGCGCCGGAGGAGAGCATGAAGCTCCCAGACCCAAACTCCAAAAGGCCAATGCCAACAGGAAAAGAGCTTTAGAAAAACAATCGAGAATAAAATGGGCCACAACAAACCAAGGCGAAGAGAGAAATGAGAGCAGCCGGTTCAAAGACCAGGACGACTCAGGAGGCGCATGAGCAGGTTGTAGGTGAACGGGACAGAAGTAACATCAACACCAAAAGCAAGCTGAAGCTGTTCCGCCAGCACTGAACGATATGAGGCGACAGTATTCGGCATAAGATGACGGTCCTGGAACAACCAAGAGAGAAAGGACAGAACAACTATCAGAGACTGAAGAATACCTACGCAGTGATAGGAAGAACCGGAAGGACCGCCAGGAAACTTCATACTGTCGCCGAGACGAAGCACGCAGGTGGGTAACCAACAACGAAACCACCTGCACACCGTACAAGTGATGATAAACTTGAGTCAAAAACTCCAGACGTGAAGACTCAATGAAAAGACCAAACCAGCCTCGTACCGGGCTGGATCAACCCACTGAACAAAAGGCGGGGCCGAGGGAAGACCCTCGGGTTTGGACACCGAACAAGCAGCACCTGAAACCAAGGCTGGGCTGGCCACCAAGGAGCCAGGAGGACAACTCTTCCCTGGTAGGTCTCCAAGCGAGCTAGGACCTGGAGCAACAGCTGAACCGGGGAAAAGATGTACAGGTAACCCCACCTCGTCCAGTCCTGCCTGAAGGCGTTAAACTTGACGGCCTTGCTGTTGGGGAAGGGCGCCACGTATACCGGGAGACGCCTCGACCACGCCGACGCTAAGAGATCCATGTCCGGAGTCTCGAAAGTCTGGCACAGCCAACGAAGAAAGTCGGCATCGACCGTCCATTCCGTGGAAAGGGGAAGGAAACAAAACAGGCCATATGCCAGGCCGTTGGACACCCCCCGAATGTGAACTACCAGGAGAGCCAAACCCCAAGAACTCAGCAGACGAGTCACCTGAAGCGACCAGCCCCAAAGAGCCAAGGACAGTATCGAACCCACTCGGTTCAGGCAATGAACCATCAGGAAGCAGTCCAAATGGAGCCGGATCGTCGATCCGCGAGCGACTCGAACCCTCCGGAGCGACATCCACACTGCAGCAAACTCCCTGACTGTGCTGTGAGCCCAACGGTAGGACAGATCCCACCGCCCCTGGCCGGCCTGGTGAGCACTGGTCACAAAGCCCCAGCCAAGAGACGACGCGTCCGTGAACACATCGAGCAAGGGCTCGGGTAGGCGCCAAGGCACTGAACCCCGAAAAACCCGAAAAGGAAGCCAGCGACGCAGCAACCAATGCAAAGCCCTTGTAGGCCAAACCCAATGGTCGCGCGAGAGGCATAAGGGACGTCCCTGAAGGAACCAGAACAGCCGATGAAGCCACACCCGCCCCGGCAGGTAGACCATCATGGCAAAGTTCAGGCTCCTACACAAACTCTTGAGCAGCCGCAACGTTACCCAAGAACCCCTCAGAAACAGATGAAGGCGAGACTGCAGGCAAAGCAGAGCCGCTGGAGGCAGAGACAAGGAAGCAGTGCGAGCGTCCCATACCAGACCCAGTCAAAACCGAACCTAAAAGGGAAACAGATGGGACTTCCTCCAGTTCACCAAGAACCCCAACCTGGCGAGCTGGGAAAGAACCAAATTCCTGGCGAGCAGACACGCGGACTAGCTGGGAGCCCAAACCAGCCAGTAATCAAGGTAGGCCAGAACCCGAACACCTAACAGACGCAGGCGGGACACCACGACCTGAGTAAGGCGTGTGAAAATGCGAGGTGCCAGATTCAACCTGAAGGGAAGACAACGAAAGCGGTAACCTTGAAGCCCCACAACAAAACCAAGCCAGTCCCTGAACTTTGGATGAACTGGGACCTCAAGGACGCGTCAATATGCGTCCTTGAGGTCTAGGGACACCATCCAAGTGCCCGGCTCCAACAGAAGATGGACCTGGGAGTGTGTGGTCATCCGGAAGGAGGGGCAATAAACCCACGGGTTCAGACGGGACAAGTCCAAAATGAACTGGAGGTCCGCACAATCCCATTTTGGGACCGGAAACAGGCAGGAAACCCACCCGAGGGACGTTGTTGTTTCAAACACGCCCATGTGAATCCACTCCGAGATGACCCAACAGAGTGCAGAAGAAGAGGCCTGACCCGCCACCCCGAACCCCCCAAGGGAGGAGGAGCCACCCAACGCCACCACAGGCCACACGAAACGACCCGAAAAGCCCACGAATCGTGGGACTAGACGCGAGCAAAGCTAGGGAGCCGCGCCCCTCCTATCGCCCCGTCAAATCGCGAAAGGGCCTAAGTTTCGAAAGGTACAAGTTTCCATTCAAATCGCCCGATAAAGATTTTTTTTTTTTTTTTTTTTTTTAAACTAATTATTAAATATTTTTATAATGTTATTGTGACAGCTGAGAGTCATAGACATGATTTCAGTTGACACTTGTGTTTGATGCTAATTTTTGACCATTTTGGATTTTTTTTTTTAAATTTTGACAATTCAATATTTTTTTCTCCCTTCCTATTTATGCTACGATGCTGAGACTTGGACCAGATGAAACTCTTTTCATATACAACTAGTCAAAAAAGTTTGAAATCGAATCAGTTTTCATTTATTGCACATTTTATCATTATGCCCCCTTAAATAGGGGAGAACGAAGCAGAAGCAAAAAAAACACACATTACCAATAGCATGAACATCTTTTAACAAAAATTCTTAAAAAAAAAAAGTACTGTGAATTAAGAATACAAGGAACATGAAGTCACAATATCTATATAACCCTGGCCCAGCATTAGCTTAGAACAGGATGCTCCTGCCTCTCATCATTGCAGGACCAATGACGGTATTAGACCCCATGAAAAATAAGCCAAATGGCAATGTCATTGTAACATGGCAATGTAATAAAAATTCACAATGTAACTTTGTAAAAGCTTCCAACATATGTGGTTATGCTGTTATTGCACGTAAAAATGAACATACAGGAAATAACTGGCAAAATAGGAAGATGGAACTTTAATTTACTAACTAATAGAACCCAAAGGGTAACAGCTAACAGTGAAATCTGGATCATCTATTGTGAAAAGCTTAGCCCCCAGGTTATTGTACTTGCTCCAGTACTCTCTCATTCTCCTGTTGGACATAATTAAGGATATAAACTACAGTACTGCATTTTCGATTGTAGAGGACATGAACCTTTATGAGTAGAAACCATTGAGGATACTGCAAACCTCCAAAATGATTCAAAATAGATCTTTAAATGGGCCACAAAATATAACATGAAGTACAATGAAGAAAATTTCCAGCTTCTGCACCATGGAAAAATATGAGAAATCAAAACAGGAACCACTTCTAAAATTTTGTCAAATCACACAATAAAAGAAAAGCAATGTAAAACACCTAGGAGTAATTTTTCTGAAGACCCTTAGTTTGAATAACACAATATAGTAGCTGTCACAATTGCAAGAAAAATTACAGACTGGATAACAAAAGCCTTTGAAACAAGAGATGGTCAACTAATGATCGAAATTTTTAAGTGCTCTCCAGGGTGGAATATTGTTCACACTAACACCCCCAGAGCCGGAGAAGTTACTATCATGGAAAATGTGAATAACTATTCAATAAAACTTCCTTATTATTTGAACCACTAAAAATCTCAGAACCTGTACTCTTTTAGAGTGCAGGTGAGAGATACATAATAATTTACACTTGGAAAATATCAGGACTGGTTACAAATCTGCACACACAATAAATAACTCCTTATGAAACCAGGAGGCATGGCAGAATGTAGAAATTGCAAGATCAGTAAATTTTTTGCCAATACTTTACTACCTTCCTTGT